GTTTAACTGTGTTTATAAACTACATACTAATGTGTATTCATGTGTTATAAATGATGAATTCATTATTTATTCATGCTTAACCAATGCTTAATAGTGTGTACTCATTATAAAGTGTTACCGAGGTGGGTGTAAAACCAGATTATTTCCTGTGAATATTGATCAGAGATGAATTTTCCTTCTTTTTTTTCCAATTCGGACTGTATATATATATATATGTGTATTTTTTTTAACAACAATACATATTTAATAGTCTTCTTTTTTGACAGATTCAGTGTTTTCCTCTTGTTGTTCTATTCGCTGTTTGGTTGTTTGAACTTGTCTAATGCAGTATGAGGCTGTTTATCAGAGAGTGAAGGCTCTGTGAATATAGCCTGTGTTCAGCTCTTCAAAGTTTACATCTTAAATAATAATCTAAACTTTAAAAATATAAATGTAATTTAGTTTTCTTCACAGAACTGAATGAAATGCTGGGATTTAGGCCTACTGTGTATATTTTAAAAGTTTTCTTACACCCCTTAAAATCAAGAAGGCCTTTGCGTATGTTTCTGTGCCTGGCCACAAAATAGTCCAGCACTTCACCCGCTGTAAAACCGCAATGTCTTCTGTACACGTCTCTGTTGTTGAATGCTAGCTGTTTCCATGGCTAAGCTGCTGGTGGTAGGTTCATTCTTACGCCACAAACACATGAGTGGTGTGTGCAAGGTTACCGAAAGTTTGAAGATACAGTTAATTTAATTCAATTTTATTTGTATAGCGTCAATTCATAACAGAAGTTATCTCAGGACACTTTTCAAATAGAGCAGGTCTAGACCGAACTCCTTATAACATTATTTACAGAGACCCAACAGTTCCCATAATGATACTAATAATAATAATAAAAATTGACATTAATTGCAGGTCTGTGATGGGACACAAGCTCCAGTCTCTCAGAAAATAAGATGTGCTACAGGGCGGTCCACCCCAACCCCCACACCCTTGCTTCCTGTGTTACTGCATATGGGACACACTACTTCCTGAAATGACACTGAATGTTGGAACTGGGTGTAAATTGTGTGGCCCATAGAGAATATGGGATATCATTTCGGAGTTTGAGCGTTTTAAGTTGTCTTTTTAAATGGATGACGATATGCATGTCATAATTTACTCCTCCATATTTGCAAGCAGAATATAGCAAGACACAAGGGCCCGAGACTGTAAAAGATGGTGCCTGAGAGAGATTTCACGAAACTTTACGGTATCTGTGATGATAAATCTTTCTCTTGAGGATGAAAGGATGGTATTTTTACTGGATTTTATTTTTAAAAGTTTTTTTTTAATTGGTCCAGTACTGAGATAACCCTTAATTCACAGAGTTAGGAGTGAAAATATCAGGCGAGGAAGAGGTCAGGCGTCATGGAGAAACAGTGCGTATAGCCAGAATATTTTCACATCTAACTCAGTGAATTAGTTTATCTCAACCTAAAGCTGCTAGTTATTGGAACAGTGTTGAGACAAATCAAGGTTTTGGTGAGTTTTATTCTGTTTCTGTCGAGTTTGAATGAAGATCTTACTCTTTCACAAAAATGTCTATCTCTGTGGGGACCACTTGTAATAACAGTCTGAGCTTATCAGTGTCAAAAACAAGCACTTTCAGTGGCGGACAGTTACTGTAGAGTACACAACTGCTTGTAAGGATTGTGCTGCTGCCAGTTGCACCAGCTGCCGGCTGCAGTCCTGTCGCTCGATACTGGACAAATTCAAAAAGTGTTGTTCACATCAGTCACAAAAACTTGAAACTAGAGTCCAGATTGAAAATACTGAAGCTATCCTTTAAGGCATGTGCATAAAAGGAGAAAAGGACCCGAACTATATGAAAACATTCTGAAAAGAGAGGCCAACAATGCTTTCAAACGCAGAATCCAGGAACATGTGGATTGTAAATGAGTCTGTATAGTTTAAAACAAGGCTGTGTTGTGTCAGCCTGTAATAAGATTTTTGGTGACACTTCTCTTTAACGTCTGACTATAATTTGCTATGGATCCCTGTAACACACTGACAAAAAAAATGCACCTTCTTTACTATGGTTTTGGTGTCCATGCAAAGTTAATTGTGTAACATTAAGGGGCAAGTCCTGCCCACTCCTTCCCCACTAGATGTCACTGAATCCTACACACTTCTCTTTCACTTCACTTTTAAAGTGGAACATTAAATTAGTTAACGCAATGTTGGAGAATCAAGAAAAGTCACATGTGAGGGAGCTAGAAGTCCTCCTCACTATCTATGGAGAACAGCCTCAACTATAATTTCCACGTTCACCATTTTGTACTAAAGCCAGGCAATGTCAGACCTGTGTAAGAACCTGGTCATGTGCAGGGTCATGCACCTGGGTCGGGTGGTGAATGTCGACCTATTCGCACCGACACCAAAAGCAGTATTTTTCCAGGTCACTGCCTCAGTGTGAATAAGGTATTAGTGTCTTGCAGCTTTGTTTTAACCACAAATAGAGACTTGACTCTGTGCAGACTGATAACACTGACTCTTCATCATGTGACCAATTACATGAAGTCATGTTGGCATAACATGGTGTGACAACATGGCAGTCATCTTACAGCACCTGTGAGTGAATACACACTTTATCATCAAGTCCTGTCTCTGCTACTGTGGGCTGTTGCACTGAGGCACAACAAGTCTGCTGTCTCCTCTCCAGCCCCCAAATGACATTGTCCTCGGGTTTGTTTACAACCAAAACATGAAGCAGGTGCACGCGCTTGTTCCCACGCCACCCACTGGTGCCCTCTATGCCCTCTTCTAAGCAGGCTTTGTCTCATCATTAATGCCAGTGCCAGTGGGTGTCTGCAGTGGCCACAGGACCTGACACTGCTGCATGATGAGGACTGGTGTTGTGTCATGATATGTAGGGATATAAAGCTTAAATACAGTGGATTCATTATAAAAGCATCTTTACAAAGCCCTTCACTGAACTGATTTGAATTTGTCTTTTTTATTTTTATTAATAATCATTAATATGCATGACTTTCTACAAATTTTGTGCATCAGTTATTTTTAAAATACTTTTGGAGGCCAATTTTATACCTTTTTATTAATGAGTTGACAGTTGATAGGTGGCAGGAGATGAGGGTAGTGAGGGATGGGGAACAACATGGAACAATTGAAGTTGCCAAATCTCATATTTAATATGAGTAGGGATGGGACAATATTATCGCGATAAAAACACATCAGTTTATCATGGTGAATTTCCATTATCGTGATAATTGTGAATTGGGATAATCATGAATATTCTCACATTGCTTGACTTAGCTTGACTAGCTCTCCAGCATACAGTCCTATATTGATTTCCTACATTTATTTTAAACAAGGGGACAAGGAGGAACCAGCATCTTTCTAGTGACTGTGTGGAAATAGCAGATTCCAAAATATAGAACAGGGAGATGAGGTGCCTATCTGTGCTGCATTAAATATATGTGATTATCGTGATAATATCGTGTAGCGCAATTATTTTGCCAAGATAATTGTGCCATTAAATGTGCCATTAAATCATCCCATGCCTAAATAGAAAGAGAAAATCAACAATTGGTTAATTGGTCATACTCTGTGAAAGGATATTCATATTATCAAAACACTGTTGCAGACAAATAAATGTTTCCTTTTTTTAGATAATTTCATTTTCAAAAACATTTTTTATATTTTCTTACACACCTAACTACAATGCTATTTCAACTGTTACCATCTCTACTTCTATAGTATTATTATTACTACTGTTAGTACTAGTATTACAACTACCACACTTACCATTGCCACTACTACTTGTCTTCACATACTACTACTCCTACTCACACTACTGCTTTTATGACTACTTTTGCCAAATGTATGCTACATGGCCAAAAGTATGTAGACAGCCAAACATTCTAGCCATATGGGATGGTTAAACATTTGTGGTTCTGTGCTGCAATATCAGACTTCATATGCTGCAGGGATTTTCTCCCAATCAGACACAAGAGCATCAGTGAGGTGATGTTAGGTGTTAAGGTCTGGTTCTGGGTCAATTCATCGTAAAGGTGTTGGATGGAGTTGAGGTTAGGGCTCTGTGCAGGTTCTTCCACACCAAACTGAAACAAACTTTTTTTTAATGGAACTGGACAAACACAAACTAACTAAAAGTTAGAAACACACTGATGTCTAAAATGTTATCTTGAGCTGTAGCATCCTGATTTCCCTTCATTAGAACTAAGGACCCTACTGTACAGATCAAACCGGTAGCCTATACTACAAAGACTTCAATCACATGCTACTGTAATTAATAGTGCAGCAAATACTGCTGCTACTGTGAATACTACTACTACTTCCTATCACTACTAATACTACTATGGTGTGTTCACTGACATACATTGCTGCACATTGTATCCAGAGCAGACAACTGTTGAAAGTCACACACCATACTTGGCTATAAACATGCAACAGAGCCTCTGGTCTTCATACATATTGTGTATCTTCTGACGGTGTGTGTGTGTGTGTGTGTGTGTGTGTGTGTGTAGCTGGATTAGGCTGAGGGAGAGTGAGGGGTTACTGGAGTCCAGCAGCTGTACAAACAAGGGCAGGCCAGATATTACTGTTACCTCACTGAGTGCCATCTCTCCCAGGCCTGCACACACTGGACATATCATTACATAAACCTATTGTTACTCATGTCACACAAAAGCCCTCATTGGGGGGATTACCTCCAAATCATAAAAAATGACACATAACCTGAACCATCTGCCTGCGTGAGACAGAAGATTTAAAGGTCTGGCTTTGGGAAAATGTTGGGTATCTGTCAGGTCACTAATTTGTCTGAAGCAGAGGCACCATGACAGGGACATGGAGCAGGTAAGAGGTGAGCAGGGGGTGGATGTCCTGCTGTAACAGGATCTGCTGCTGTGGTTAAACATAACTGAGTCTGAGCACTTACAGTAATGTAGTGCAAAGCAATGATGCATGGTGATCCTGGAAGAACCTTTTCTTACCTTGCTCTGTGAAGACGCGTCTTTACACAAAACCAGCAGACAGGCGAACAAATTGGTGTATCTCCACATTTTCTCTTCTGAGTGTCGAGGCGCGAAGTTGAGAAAATCCACAGCGACAGTCTCTAACATTCAGTCCAGTGCCCCTATTTTAACTCCATCTCCTTCTCACACAGGGAGGATGATACACTATGAGTCCGTCTGTTCGTCTGTCCGTGTGTCTAAGTTGGTGTATGTGCCTGTTTTGTGCGCCCTGTCTGCGCTGCGCGTTCCGTCTCCAACCCGACGCACAGTGCGCATCATCTGTCATCCGCTGTCCTCCACTGATGGGAGGGGTTTACACACACACACACACACACACACACACACACACACACACACACACACACACACAGACAGTCCCTCAGTGAGTGTATTTAGGCTGTAGACTACGCAGGACGGCGGAGTTTCTCTAATGATACTAATAATTTAAATAATAATAATAATAATAATGGTGATAATAATATTAATAATATTAATAATAATAATAATCACGATGATGATGATGATGATAATAATAATAGTAGTAGACATGGCCCACATTGAGAAAGGAACACGGCTTTCAGGGGGCAGCACATTTGAGCAAACACACATTAGTTTAAAGGGCTTTTGGCGCCATCAGCTGGCCAACTATTGCTTGGAAACTCCAGTCACACTTTTGAATCACTCTTTGAGATGGTTGGAAGCAGTGTTGGGCTCAGTAATCTTTTTTTTAAATTGTATTACTCATTACTCGTTATTTTTTTCAAAAATAACATATGAATTTACTTATTACTTACCTGCTAACAGTAATTAGTTACACTGCTACTTATATTACTTTTCTACTACTCCCGACAAAACTGGTAATTGTGTCCTTTCTCCCCAGAATTCAGACTTATGACGATTCAAATCCATTTTTGTTGTTAAAGCTGCAGTATGTAACTTTTATAGCCACACCTGGACTGAAATGCAGGACATGCAGCCAAAGAACATCAGCAGACTGAGAGTAGTGTTTACTGAGGAATATTTTATTTGAGCTTTTGCTTGATTTAATTTTGTCTGTAAAGGCAAATATGTATGTATTTATTTATGAATAAGTTTTGTTTGCTTGAAATAACAACAAGCCACTGAAGACACATCAAGATCAAGAAATATGAATACCTGCGTGTTAACTTAACCTAACAGTGTATGACTAATTACTGAAAGGAAGTCAGGACTACAGTCATGAGAAAACCTTGACATGCTTTTATGAAAGTGAGGGGGCACAGTGAATGAAGTGAGGGAGCACTGCCCCCTGGTGCCCCCTCGTGGAGCTGACTGAAGTGTCTAGTGGGAAACGCAGTAGTGAGGAAAATGTAGCTCCCCCTCACTGATTGATGCAGTTGATCTGAAAATAAAAGAGGTTGATAAACTCAGTTTGTGTTTTATATCACATTATTAGGGCCAGACTAAGAGAAAAAAATATATATTTTTGGGGGGAAATTACAAGAATAAAGTCATAATATTAGGTCCACGAGAATAAAGTAACATTACGAGAATGAAGTAGTAATTTTATGAGAACTGTCAGTCTGTTGGCTCAACCAGCAAAACTGTTTAACGACGGAATGATGAATCCGTTAGTTTACCTGTTGACTGTACGGTAGGACGGAGACAAACAGCGGCTGCTGGGCTCAGACTGAGGCTGCTGATTGGTTGAGCTGCTCACGTCAGATCTTGAGAACTCTATCAAAGCTTTTTTCTCATTAAAACGATTACATTATTCTTGTATTATTACGACTTTATTCTCGTAATTTCCTAAAAAATAATAATAATTTCTTAGTCTGGCCCTAATACTCCGTCGTAATAACCCACCATTAAGCCTGACCGACAATATATTTTGGTATTATATATATATATATATAATTTATGATTTGAAATATCTACACATGTAAAGTGTTTATGGGTGTTGCAGATAGTGAGTGCTGTGCTAGTGTATTCTCTGGGTCTCCATGTATTTTACAGTCAGAAACAGTTCAGTTGGGATTCTCTGCTAAAACAGCAGGAAATTAATCTGCAACAGTGAATTTACTCTCATTATTATCTTCAGCAACATCATTATCCTCCATTCAAAGTCAGTTATAACAAGAAGCTCAAACTTGTGATTTGCTATGAATTGGAATTTAAGGAAGTAAACAATAATTGTTGCTTTTTAAATATTGAAGACCATGTTCAAAGCTTGAAAATCACTTTTATGCATTTCTGAGGTCAGACTAAGTGCAGTGGAGTAGACCTAAAACCGTACTGTTTTGGAGCTGCTAACTCTGTCTACTCTTTTAATCTTACATATATTATTTGCCACCGTGACAATCCAGATGATGGTGCTATTGAATATTTGCTTTTTAGATTTGTTATTCACTAAATCACTTCCTAAGATTGTACCTTTTCTCCTAGACCTGAAATATGTTCTTAAAACACTGTTTACTAAACAACAAAAAGAGTATTAAGCTTTTGATGCACTATGACATGCACTGGTCATGAAAAATAATTCAGAATTTTGGATCCTATACCACAACCTTACCAAATGACCATTTTTGTGCTCTGGAGCTTTGGTATCGATCAACAGTGAATATTAGGAGCTTCTGTGTGAATGTATATCGAAATAGTCTAATATTCAGGTCCAGCACTAGATCGTACATATTTAATAAGCATTTTATCTCACAAAAGATAAAACAACAAAAACAGCTATTTATATTCAACTTTTTTCAAATTATCATTATTTTTTTCTAGATATATCTCGCTGGCCAAATTGAACCTTATGGTGGGGCCCACCTTCGGCAGCTCTGGTTTACCTGAATATTTGTACATTATCCTGCTGTTAATTAAAAAACAGTATTGGAGTGTGTACAGATGGAGCTGCAGTGATGACAGACAGGCATGTCTCCTGGAATACATACATAGATAATACATAATACAATTACCTGTTTAAAAATATAGTCAGAAACCTTATCCAAGTATCACAAAATTAACTTTACTTTGTTTACTTTCTGTTACTTCTGGATGACCTCATTACCAAATATGTAAATAAACCATATTTATGCATTTATGCAAGTGTATTCTATAGGACAACAGAACAATGTGACCATATTAAATAAAAAAGAAACAGAGAAAAGAAATTAGCATCAACAACGTGTCATCTGCTTCGTGAATTTTTAGAAAAGAAAGACGTATGTATTTAAAATTGTAATCCTGCGAATAATCCCATTTTTTGTTATTAAAATATCTGTAATCTGATTAAGTCTTTATTTCTGTAACTATAATGGAATACAGTTATCTTTTTATTGTATCCTGATCCATGACTCCCAAAGCCTGGACACATGGGGGCCCTCGGGGCAAAACAAAAGGTTGTGAACTACTGCTTTAATGTGTTTTCTTCAGAAAATACACTGTATTGTAATCAGTTGTAGTTTTTTTAATTATTTCCCCAACTGAACAGAACTAAGCAAAGGAACCAGTAGGTAATCTCTGAAGAACTGTAAAGGGGCTGAACAAGTTCTTTTTCCAGCAGCAGTGAAGAACCACTATTATTATTATTATTATTATTATTATTATTATTAACGGGACTTCTCTTTTCACACTGTGACCACCAGAGGGCAGCACCTATTCTCAACTACTTCTTAAACACGAATGAAACTGGCTGCTAACGCTGAGCGTCCTCCTGTCGCTAGCCAAACAGTAGCATAAGTACCAGAAGCTAGCGATAGCATTAACGTGCTTGCTTTCGGCTTATCTAAACTGCTCTTCGGGTTCAGGACGGGACTCCATATCCCACAATGCCCGCGGAGTGATGTCCACACGTTACGTAATAAGTTGTGTGTTTGTGCTGCCTTCACTTCGTGTGGGAGCAAGCGAACTTGATAATATTTGAGGATTGAACACGATGAAGTTAAGCGGAAAGAAGAAATGAGCCGTTCAGTTACAGTTGAGTGAGGTTGTTTCCACTCTTCTGTTCACTGACACGATACATTCACCTGCAGAAGCAACGTTAGGCCTATGGCCCTTGTATGTAACAGTATATTATGTAGCCGTTTATTCAAACTAGTCTAGTTAACGACAGCATTATTAGATTTTGGCTCGGTTTATGTGGCCGTTGGGACTATTTTGGTCCGGTTTGTATCATTTTTATTAACGTAGTTAATTAATTGTTCATGAAATCAACTTTCCATTTGTAAGAGGAAGAATGTATCATGTATTCTTTCAAATGTTACACGGTTTTAATATTTGAACATGATTGAGTTAGTCTACTTCTGTGTCTGATTCTGTTTTGCATTCATTTATTTATTAATTAGTGAAGGTTTAACAGGTCATTTTAGGGTCTATTTCCCTTATTTATGACGTTGTATTGTGAAAAGTTGGACATATTACAGGAAGAATGTAATTCGAATACTCCTCCTAATTGGTTCATTCAAATTCCCCCACAAAACTGTTTAATTATTTAAAACAAAAAGGGGAAAAAAAGACAATTAGTCTGGCGGTCAGATTTGTGTCTGATTTCTAATTGGATGGCCATATCCTCCACCCTCCTAGCAGGCCGTGAACGCACCAGCCCTGGGGGTGTGGACCCAGTTGATTCCCCGCTGACTGGAAGAAGCAGTAGGCTAAATCATGGGACGGCGGTCCGAGCAGTGAGCCAGCCGGGGCTGAGGACGGGGACAAAGCAGTGGCAGCTCGATTCGCTTCACAGTGCGCTATCACCGCTGTCATCTCACCATCCTCATCATCCTCATCATCATCCTCATCATCCTCATAAGCAGCAGCAGCAGAGTGCGGGCTTTTCGTGGTGGTGAGAGGCGACGTCGGGCTGACTCGGGATCAGCCCATGCAGGAGGATGGAGGTAGAGAAGAGGACGAATGGGTTCGACTACCCGGAGAGAAACAACGCAAAGTCCGTTAACGGTAGGCACACACACACACACACACACACACACACACACACACACACACACACACAGCTCCACATGTGGTGTATGAGACTCTGTTGTGTGTGGCTGGATCACACCTTTCCTCACCTCCACGCACAGAAGCATGGCTGCATCCACCAGGCTCCACCACTCTCTCCAAACTGTACACTAATGACCAATGCAGTGGAGATTAGCGCAGACAAGTGTGTGTACGCAGTGTGTAGTAGTGTGTGTACGCAGTGTGTAGTAGTGTGTGTACGCAGTGTGTAGTAGTGTGTGTACGCAGTGTGTAGTAGTGTGTGTACGCAGTGTGTAGTGCTAAAATGAAACACGTGTGAACACGTGAAGTCCTGCATTTTTGGCCAGGTTCGGTTTGTTTCCTTGTTTTGCATCAGTGGGGGTGATTGGATTGTGTGTTTGCTTGCTGCTTGAGGTGTGTGTGTGTGTGTGTGTGTGTGTGTGTGTGTGTGTGTGTGTGTGTGTGTGTGTGTGTGTGTGAGAGAGAGAGATTTGGGCTTGCTGGGAACAGAGGTCGGAATGTTTTTATTTGGAGGTGGTCAGTCAGGCTCGGGGAGATCGTAAAAGGTGAACTTTTGAACTTGGAGAACGCCCTGAAGCCATTAGCGTGTCAGTGGGCAGAATCCGGGCGTTACATGCGCCGCGCAGGCTGGAGGAGAGGGAAATGTGATAAGATTGGTTCATTCATAGCTGGGTGAATTTCACATTTATCTACAGCTGCGTTGATCTTCACAGCCTTTATGTGACACTGACTTTGTTGCTCATTTACATGCAGATCACAGTGGGAGTAAAACGTCCCCCACAGCTCGCTTCGATATCACTGCCAATTTATCATTTCTTCATATGTTCCATATTGACCACAACCAGTTCCAGGCCCGAAGTGAAGCCCCCACAATGCCTTGCAGCAGTGTCTGTCCCAGGCGCCAGTCTCATATCGTGCCCCCATGCGGGTGACTGAAGATTTATTGACATTTCCAAGATTAAAATTCCTTTAACTCTGAGCAGCACGCTCACCGTGACTTGTGTGGACGAAGACATGGAACTGTGTGATCTGATTGGTACATCTGTGTGTGTGTGTGTGTGTGTGTGTGTGTGTGTGTGTGTCACCTGGTTGTAGAATAACTTAATAAGCCCTAACGATAAAAATATAAGGCCTGCAGGAGTATTGGATGGATTTGTTCTGGTTTTTATAGATCATTCTACAAAATACAAAAAAGAAAAAACTTGAATACGTTAAAATAGCCTTTATTATATTTCAAAAGCTTATTTTAGGCATAGTTTCATTTGGTAATTAATGTTTCATTTATCAAGCCAAAAGCCTCAAACATTCTCTCAAATGTGACCAATTGCTGCCTTTTTTATTAAAAACAAAATATGTTTGCGTTTTAGATTATTAGTTGAATATACCATCTTTTTAAAAAAAATACAAAAATGAACATTTTCCAACTATTTTATGAACAAAGCAGTTGATCAATAATTGAAATACTAATCAACAGATTAATCAATAATTAAAATCATTGCAGCAACCTTAAATGAACAGTGCAGTGGATCTGTTAATGGCAGAATGTAATACAAGTAAAGGAAATAAAAAAACAGACACTTAATGGAATAAACCAAATAAAGGTGAATGTCTTAACATTTGATCAGCCCTTGATAAGGATTTCATTTTAGAATATGATTCATTTTCACTTTCCATTGAAATGTACACATTGTCTTGGATACAATTCTTGTAATACCATACAATAGAAAACTGCAGGGTTAGGGTTATTTTTTCAGTATTTTTTAAAATGTTACAATATACAGTAATAATTCTGTGTGAGAAATGCCTTTTTAAATAATGTAGAGATGAAATGAGTTTTCGATCAACAGTAAAATAATCGACAACTATTTTGATCGTCCTTTAATCATTTAAGTCAGTGGTTCTCAAAGGGGGTACATTTTTTCATTAGTGTTCCCCCAGACCAACACAAAGCATTTCTGGTAAAAAAAAAAAAAAACATCCATATAAAATGTTTATATGATTTATTAAGAAAAAAACTTGCTTTGTTTCAAATGTTTAGAATCCATCACAGAATTCATGGAAAACCAATATTTTGTCATGCAGTAACACTAAGACGGCATTGAAGTTGCATTGAACTGCGTCTTTTTTATCAGCTGTACTTCCACCGAGCTCCCTTACTGAGCTCCCTCCAGGAGGTTGTGATCGCAACAATTCACACAAATTCAACCAATCCCTGTGAATTCTGCCTGACTTTCCCATTTTGTTCAATCACCGCAACTTAAGTAATTGCAGCTTTGTTTTGCAATATTCACTTTCTCCTGCAATTTAATTGCAGAAATGCCTGAAAATATTACAACATGCATAGCAATTTATTTAGAAAAGCTGCTGTGAAATGAGGCATTTTAGGCCGCAATAATCCCCAAAAAGTGAAATTGTGGAGGGATTGGCAGTACTCGCAGTAAATTGTGATTTATCAAACTGGCATTTACATGTTTTTATTGAACTTATAATTATTTTATTATTTTTATTTTATTTTGACTGATTTTTTTTTTTTGATTAACATTTAAAAAAATTAAATAAATACAGTACAGTCTTGCACTACTTCAATCATTTTTCAAGCGAAAAGGCCAAACATTTACTGTCATTGTCTTATGTAACTGTACAAACTGTCAAATTTGGGGTTTTGGACTTTTGGTTGAAAAAAAACAGAAATTGAATGTTGTCACCATGTGCTCTGGTGAACTGTGATTTTTGACATTTTTCACTATTTTCTGCCATTTTGTCGACCAAATCGTGACTCCGTTAATACAATAGGCAAGGCAGCTTTGTTTATACAGCACAAGTTAATGTTCTTTACACACAAAGAAAAGCATGTATATAAAAATAGTTGACCAATTAATTAATGTAATCGCAAGGAAGACAGATGTTCCAGATGTTAAAGTCCAGCTGGTTAGCCCATCAGTGACAAAGTGTCAAAGCCTTTCTTTCACCTCACATTGTTACATAGAAAACAAAGCAGCCAAGCCTCCTTCCAGCTCCTGCCTCTCCACATAACCACATTTGAAGAACAAACTAAATTTCCATTGATCTCTATGAATCCAACACACACACACACACACTCTCTCTCTCTCTCTCTCTCTCTCTCTCTCTCTCTCTCTCTCTCTCTCTCTCTCTCTCTCTCTCTCTCTCTCTCTCTCTCTCTGCGCAGTGAAGTCTGCTTGTTTTAATGTAATTGACCTCAGTGGAAGGAGCAAGGAGAAGGAGGAAGACAGGAGGGGTTAAGTATTTGTGTGGATCTACGTTTTGGGCCTCGGGGGTTTGTGGACTTGCACGACGGGGCTTAAAGAAAGTGCTTTGTCAGCCCCCCCCCCGCCACACACACACACACACACACACACACACACACACCGCGGTCCGCGCTGTCCCTCGGGGCAGGGTGAAGGGGACGGCTGGCAGTGGGTGGGGCAGGGGACAGGATGCAGAACCCCCCTGCCGTGACGCTTGAATGATGAGCCAGGAGGAGTACAGTAGGGGAGGAGGGGCTGCTGCTAGGTGGAGGCGGGGTAGAGGTGTGTCGGGGGTGGGGGCCACACGCAGGCAGATGTGAGCCATCATGTTATGTTTTCTTCTTCTTCTTAACTTGACTCCCTCGGCTATCATTAGATCTGTGTCAACACCGGCACTCACTCACTCACTCACTCACTCACTCACTCACTCAGTATTTAAAACTGTTGCTAATGTTACTCTGTTCAAACAGGATGGTTGGATTAATTTGGATGAAAATAAGTGTCATCTCGTATTATAAAAAAAGTTTGTATTTTATCTTAATTTATTTTAAATGTTATTCTAATGTAAATTGAATTATCTTTTTCTCAGTGTGTACCATGAAGGGACTGCAAACTTTAATTTCGTTGTACAACCTCATGTTTCATAATGATAAATAAATGTCTAAACTCTTTGTTACAATAAAGAAGGTAACGTATTAATTGAAATGATATTTAAAGAAGCAAGAGCAGCATTTCTTACAGTTAGGATGAAAGACATTAACTGAAAAAGTTACAATTTTCTTAGACCTTTGAACAGATTTGGGCAACTACTGTTATTCCGTTATCAGTGAATATGCTGATTATTTTCTCAGTTAATTGGTAGGAATCTAACAACAATATATTGCGAGACAGTTAATTCATGAAACAAATATGTGAAGATTTGAATCTGAGATGAAAAATGAATGGTGACATTCATCCTATGTGCCTAGTGTCAGTAGCTGTATCAAGGTGCAAAGACATCAGTTTCACTTTTACAAAGCAAAGGAAAAATGCATTGTTTTGCCCAGTTTATACCCTACCTCAGAAATAAGAAAGGATTGTATAATTTGATTTAATATTAGTGCTGTCAAACGATTAAAATATTTAATCGCGATTAATCGCATTAATGTCATAGTTAACTCGCAATTAATCGCACATTTTTATCTATTCTAAATGTCCCTTGATTTCTTTTTGTCCCATTATTTTTTTCTCATTTTAATGCTCATCAACATGGAAAAGTGGATCGGCTTGCTTTGTGCAAATACTGTAGTGTTCAATTTCACATTGTCACTTGGAGCAAATAATCTCTCACACAATGTAACACTGTCCATCAATAATAGGGTGAAAAAAATACTTTGTCACACAACAGCCCCTTCAACAGCCCTTTCTAAGGGATCAAAACAGGGCGATACCAAATAAAATTACACAGTGCACATGTAAGGTAAACTAGGACTATAGTGCAGTTAAACCATGGCTTAATACTTTTCTGAAGTTTGCTTTGAACATAGCAGTCAGGCTACTTTATTCACCAGAGGCTCAACCCAGCCTCTTGTATTTCAGAAAGAATGAACAGTAATGATTACTAATAATAGGTAAGCCTACTCCTTCTTTGCTTTGAGCCAGCGTTAAACTGACAGCACTAGAAAATATATTAGATTTTTTTTTGAGAAA